GGCAAAAAGGGGTCGCTTCACCCACATCCACCGTAGGAGGACCGACCCAGTCCGCGGCAACATGTCATTTGTTGCTTCTTTATTTCTCGCTTGTTTTTTCTGTTGCCTTTTTGTTTTTGTTTGTTCACTAGAAGTTTTCTTTTCTTTTGTGTTTTTCTTTCGGTTTTTATTCTTTTTTTACTTTTATTTTTTATGTTCCTCCTTCCAGGTTGGTTTTTTCTTCTACTTTTTTCATGATTTTTCTTTTTGCATTTTTGTATTATATTGTGAATATTTTCTTAAATGCGATGAACAATTTTCAAATAAACACTGTTTTTATTATATTTTTAAATACACTATTTTTAAAATATATGAAAAGCATTTTTAATATACATTAACATTTTGTAATTTTGCAATAAAAAATTAATACACAATGACATTTTAATTATATTGTGAACCTTTTTAAATATACAGTGAATTTAATTTTGAAACACATACTTAACAATTTTCGCTAATTTTACTTGTTTATCTTTTAGTAAGTTATTAATACCTGGCTCCTAAAAAGCCAGAGCCATTTTTTGGTGAAAAATCGAAAAGAAAAAAAAGTAACCGTTCGCCGGCTCGTTTTCCCTGGCTTCAGGCGGAGCCTCCCCTATTTGACGACGCTCATAATTGTCCAACGGGAGTTTTTTTTTTTTTTGGCAACGTCGTGGCCAGTTTATCAGTGGCATAATTGAGAGGCCTGACACTGATAAAACACCCCTAAAAAAGACACTGATAAAACTGGCCCGGTAAAGCCATCTCGGATCTGTTTTGGGCTACATCGGCTTCAGCAAACTTACAACTTGAAACTTCAATTTAAAGTCTTTCACAATTACCCTCGAATAACTACCGATACAGATTCAGTCAATCTCAAGTTCTCAGCTAGCTGCTCGATCTTTGGAAGTACTAGTAATGACATAATCAATTTTTTTTAGGGATACTTAATCAAGATATATAAAGGTTGAGTGGTTGACACCTAGGTACCTACCGAAAGTTCATACTGACCATGCCCTTACAGAAGAAGGCCAACGAGACCGATCGAGTACTAGAACTGAACTAGCTACTGATTATTTTATGCTAATCTTCAGCAAACTATTCCTTCGAACTGCATGCATGCATGCATCACGCTGAGAGAAATGGCGGATGTCTGCGCGATGATCAGAACTCTAGGCGACCCGTCTCGGCGTCTCCCAGTCCAGCCCGAACGCGGCCATGTCGTAGTAAGGCACGTACTTCTGTGGATTAATAGACGCACACGAGTTAATTAATTAAGTAATCGGAAGTTCTCATGGCACATAGCTTAATGGAGTACTGTTTCACTGAATTTTTCTCACAATGCACCTCGAGCTTCTCCATGAGCTGGTGGGCGGTGGGGGCGGAGACGATGATGCGGCGGGCGGCGGGGTTGATGAAGCCTTCCTCCACGGCCTGGTCGATGAAGGTCAGCAGCGAGTCCTAGTACCCCTCCACGTTCAGCAGACCAACCTGATCGAAGAATTGACATATGCTGCCATGTGAGATTACGTGCATGCATGTTTGTAGCTTAGGTTTAGGTTGCTGGATCATTTGACATATGTGTATATGTACGCAGGTACGCACCGGCTTGTGATGGATATCTAGCTGCGCCCACGTGATCACTTCCAGCAGCTCCTCCAGCGTCCCGTACCCTCCTGAATGGGTGAGATTGTTACTTACAAAGTACAGTTTCGCACGTGCAGGATCAATTGCATTGCATGATGTCTTCTTTCTACGACGACAACATGTCAGAGAGGCGTTAATGGAGGAGTATTACGGAACCATGAATTTGGGGGGTCCTGGCCGGCCAGACCTGACCGATAGGCTGAGAAGATGCAATGCAGTGCAGTAATCAACAAGGCAATGATGCGAGCCGATGCAGGGGGTGCATTCAGCACGTACCAGGCAGGGCTACGAAGGCGTCCGAGAGCCTGGCCATCTCGGCCTTCCGCTGGTGCATGTCGGCCACCGGCCTCACCTCCCCCACCATCTCCCCGACGATCTGCCACAGCAACAACATCCATTTATCCTTACATTTACTTGCACCAAGTACCAACGCAGCAGCAGCTAGCAGAAATCACACTGAAAGTCCAGATGCAGAGCTAATGTCGGCACGCGAGACAAACAAAATCGCTTGCCGGCCGGGCGGGACAAGTACATTCGATGCTCTCAGTTCTCACAGGCACTAAAGGAGGGAAGACGAAGGTCGGAGGACCAGGCCGCTGCTGCTGATGATTAATGATGGTATCCATCCCATGTGATAATAAGCAGAGCTTCGGCGGCACTGTTGATAAATTTCCACGAGCTGAGACGCTACCGATCGACATGCATGTGTAAGCAGGGCAGTGCCGCAGGGCAGGCGTCGAGTTATTATCATATGCAGGCTGGTTAATTCGTGCAGGTCAATGCTACTGTGGACAGTGAAGTCAGTACACCTGCCCGGATCAGTTGTTGACCACGGATAGATGCAGGTAGCCATCAAACTAATTAATTAGCACGCCTGTCTGTCTGTAACATACGGGGCTAAGCATGACCCAAAGAAATCTTACTGGTTACTAATTAAAGAAGGTTCTTTCTCTCGAGGAGTATGTCTGTTTCGGCCCGGGAATAGAATGGAATCATCACGCAAAGCTGCGGGTGCTCCCGTTTGTTTATGCTCACGCCTGCATGTTTGGATTTGTGCCACGGGTTTACTGCTACGTGGGGTTTCGTGATTCTGTGGATTGTTTTCTGCAATTTTGTGGGCAACAACGTCTACTTCTGCTGTGTTGTGTTTTGTTCCCTTGGGTTAGGAAAAGGGAACACTCCCAAGAGAGGAGAGAGGCCACTATGTACTGCCAGCCTGAGAGCAGACTAATTAGCTAGTCCTAGCTAGGAGCTACTGCAAGTGGGCATTCCAAGATGCAGTGAAGTAGAAGTGTCATGATAGAAACTCGAAATGGATGAGCATGCCATGTCCATTTCTGCTCCGAGCAAGCTGCAGCAGGAGGAGGAGACAAGCAGTACAGTAGTAGTACAGAGTACCTCGGGTGTCATGAGAGTCTTGGGAATGACCCTGCACGCGCAAGACAGCAACATGAGACGACTTTCTTATACTTAGGCTACCATAATGGAACAACTTAGGGCATCTCCAGCCGTTGGCCCCCCAGGACTTGGAGCAAAAAATCGCCCCCTCGGAGCACACCGGCGCTAAACCGCGCACTGGGGCGTGATGTCCCCCAGTCGCGGCCCCCCATGGGTTTTAAAAAAAGTCAAATACGGCGCAAACACGACTCAAATTTAACGCAAACATCGGCGAGTTCGTTCAAATTTAAACATATTTTACAAAAAAGGAAAAACTACCGCGGGCTACCCCCGCCGTCTCCCTCGCCGCCCGCCTCGCCGCCCGCCCACGCGGTTCTACATGCCGAGGAGGCGGTAGAACCGCGTGTAGTCACCGCCGCCGTCGTCGTCGTCGCCGCCCCCGCCGACGCCCCCGCCGTCCCTGCTGCATCCCTCCCCCGGTTGGCGCAGCGGTTGGACGGTCCGGGGGCGTCGTCGTCGTCGTCGCTGAGGACCACGACACCGTGCTCGTCCTCGCGCCCACGCTTGCGGGCGGCGATCTCCTCCAGGGCCCGGCGCTGCCAGACCATCTCGTCGCGGAGGTAGTCGTCCCGCGCCCACCGCAGGGCATCCTCGTCGGAGAAGCCGCACCGGGCTATCTCCTCGTACTCCACGGGAAGGCCGGGCTTCGGCTTGGGCTCCGGCTTGGGCTCGACGAGGACGAAGCGGCCGATGGGGGAGGCGTTGTCGCCGATGCGGACGCCGGAGCTGCGGGTGCGCGTGCTGACAGGCGCGCCCTGGGGCTCCGGCTTGACGGGGCGGAGGTGGAGGCAGGGGGAGCCGCCGGGCGAGGAGGAGGACCCCCCGGTCTCCATGCGCCTCGGGGTCCAGGAGCTTCCCCGGCGGCGTGTGAAGGACGGGGGGCGGGGTATTCGAGGCGCGGCGTGTTGCCGCCCTCGATGTACTCGAGGACGGCCTCCAACGTGCGCCCGGGCACGCCCCACCACCGACGCCGGCCGACGGCGTTGAGCCTGCCGGAGGGCTCGATGCCGTTGGTGGCCTCGAGCTGCTCGGCGTGACGGCGGCGGAAGTAGGGCTCCCAGAGCGGGCTGTCGGGGACGTAACGTGGCCCCTCCCTCGCCGCACGCGGCAGGGACGAGCGGATGCGTGCGATCTCCGCACGCCGCACCGCGCAGGTGGGTATCGGGGGCACCGGCACGCCGCCGACGCTGATCCTCCACGCCCCGGGTACCCGCATGTCCGGCGGGACTGGGTACTCGGCCTCGAAAAGGAGGCGAGCCTCGCTCTCGTGAAGATGGCGACGGCTGAAGCCGTTCGCCACCGCGCCGTCGCCTGGGAAGCGCTCGGCCATGGGTGCTGGAGACGGCGAGAGAGAGGAGAGGGAGGAACGACGACAGCGAGAGAGAGGAGAGGGAGGAACAACGCCGGCGAGAGAGTACGAGTCACCGAGTGCGCTGGGTCTCGTCTTATATAGGCCGAGGCGCCGCCCGTGCGGGAGCCGCCGTGAGTACGCGTGGCGGGCGAGGGAGGGCGAGGGACGCGCGTCATCCGGTCTTCACTGCGCCGCCCGTGAGGCACCAATGGCGCAGACTGACCGGCGCGGCAGCGCGGCAGCTTTGGCATTGATTCGTCGCGGGAAACGAGACGATGAGGACGACGAAGGAGCGAGAAGAGGGTAGAATCGCTGACGCGGCGGGCCCGCGGCTGTTTCGCGCCAAAACAGTTCGCCCCGGCGCCCCCGGGCGCCCCCAGCGCGCCGGGTTCGGCCTGGGTCCGTCGACGCTGTTTTCGGCCCAAGCCGATGAAAATCTGGCTCCTAGGGCACGACTGGACCGATTTTTCGGCGCCGGCGTAAAAAAAAATCTAAGAAGACCTTCCTGAAGGCGCGGCTGGAGATGCCCTTACCCGATGACGTGCCTGCCGCCGTGGTAGACGGCCCGGGAGACGAGCCCCATCAGCCCGATGCTGCCGCCGCCATACACCAGGTCGATGCCCCCACCAACCTGTCACCCACCATTCAACGTTAATTACCTAGCTCCTCCCACCGTACGTACGCATGTAAGTAGTACGTTTGAGATCTGACTGGCAACGTTCAAGTCACGCGGCCGACCGTATGTACGTGATCGAGTGAATTCCTTGTACCCCTCCGTCTAGATGTATAAGTTACGTTACGAAAACTAAATAATCTCAAAACACTTTGATATGGTGTATTAACTCCCACCTCGTTTTTATTTCTTGATATATCAACCAATAAAAAATACATACTTTCAATGATTTAGGACTAGCAAACACGACATGCAATGATTAATTTATTGCATACAATGCTATTAATTAGTAAATAAATATTAATTTTTTTCGTTTTTTCCTCTATCTTGGTCGGGATGCACAATCTAAGATACTTTATGCATCTGGACAAGGAAGTAGTAGACAATACTTTTTGCACTTGCACAGCGAGTGAAATAACCCGTACTACTGCACATGATGAATGCGGTGGGAGTACTACGTACGGACGGTAGCAAGTGATGGATGAGCCGATCGGTAGTACTTCTTCCGTTTCTTTTTAGTTCGCATATAAGATTTAATCAAAGTCAAACTTTATAAAGTAAACTTTATAAAATTTGACTAGCTTTGTAGAAAAATATATCAACATTCAGACTATGAAATCAATAGTATTAGATGCATGATGAAATTAGTTTCATAACATATAACTTTTGTATTGTAGATGTCGATATTTTTTTCTATAAAGTTAGTCAAATTTTAGAAAGTTTAACTTTGACTAAATTTTATATGCAAACTAAAAACGGAGGGAGTGCATGAGAAGCACTGAAGCTGACGAGTGCACGTACGCATGCTGATGGCTTGCATGCACATGCATGCCCTTCAAGTCGTGTTCGTACGTAGTACTATTTCAGAGGAGCTAGATACGGAGTACTCCTAGATGACGAGCTCTGCCCGGCCTGTCCTACCAGTGTTAGCCGTGCTCTGTGCCGCTGGCAAGTAAAATCATCTCACTGTAAAAGTGTGTAGTTTTGTGCTTTGACATAGCTAGGCATCTACGGACATACACATTAATCTTGGCTCTACTAACTTGACAGCCGCTTTCGTGATTAACCGTGGTGCAAACTAATAAGCAGATTAATGCATGTCAACGTACGAGAGGAGAGAAGACCGTCCAGGTCATGCATGTGCAGCAGGCGCGCGTGTTTTCCCTCCTCCTTAATCATCCATAAGTGTAAGTGTATTCAGATTCTGGATCTCATCAAGGACCAACGACCGACTGCTTAATCATTCAGCAATTAGTGCTATTAGCTAAAAAGTCTCCCTGCTCCATCGCTTTAGACCGCGTGATTACGAACAAGGAACGTCCCCACAACCCCTTTGCGAAACGAGAATCAAGAGCAGCTGGCTGGCGTAATCGTGATACGTACTGCTGACCAAGATGAGATGCATGCACGAATAGAGAGTAGTAGCACGTACGAGCTGGTTGGCGAGGTCGATGGCGGCGTCGTGGTAGCTGCTCTTGTTGCCGTGGCTGCTGCCGCAGAAGACGCACATCCGCTTGAATCTGCTCGCCTGACCCATCCTGCTCTCTCCCCCTCTCCCTCTCTCTTTGATCTGCTCTCTCTCCCTCTCCTCCTCTCTTTGATATGTGTTTTGCTTGTGTGTGTGCACAACGAGCACCTATCACTTATATAAAGCCGGGCTAGAGAGAGAGAGAGAGAGAGCCGACGGGTGTTAGGTATAGCTGTACTGCGCTGTCTTTTGCAAACAATAGAGAAGGTCAAAGTTCTTTTTCCCGGGAGAAAATGTCAAAGCTTGTTTTCTAAAATCATTTAAAATATACTCTCACCTTGACATATTATATAGTGCATCTTCTCAAAGTCAAAGCATGTAACCTTTGATCAAGTCTATGAAAAGTGTATCAGCGTTGACAATGCCAAACCAGTACTATTAGATTCATCATAAAAATGTATTTTGATATGGTACACATTCGGTGTTGTAAATGTTTATATTATTTTTCATACACTTGAGCAGCGTTTACCGACTTTGACTTTGCAAAAATAATAATACATGTGATATATATCATTTGGCAAGCAGGGACTACTCTGGATCGGTTCTAGAAAATTGTTTTGGATTTCTGGCCTTTGTACTTCTTAGAAGCCATTAATGAACGCAAATAGTGCTATGAATTGACAACACACAAATCTCATACTCCCTCCGTTCCTCTTTATAGTGCGTATAAGTTTTCTGCCACAATTCCAGATTGTAGTGCACATTTGTCCGGCCAAGCAAATTTGGACGAAGCTGACCTCCAATGGAATCGCTGGAGGAGTTATCCCTCGCAGCAGCATGCACGTGGTGGGTGGGTCACATGCGGTGGAGGCAGGGCTATCTCGTTGAAAGGACAACGACCGGCACATTCATTGGTATAAGAGCCACAATCTATGCGCACTAGATAATGAAATAGAGAGAGTATAAAATATGACTCTTTTTGTTGATTTTTCTGAAAAGAGGAAAGAAATATAAGATCTTTTAGATCACTAATAAGAGGGAGTACATGTAAAATCCTATATACCTAAATAATTAATCTCTATTATCTCAATTCTCTCAACATGCACACATGCCACCTCACCAAACATGTCACATCATCGTCCCACTAATTGTTTCTCTTAACATGCATGGGAAATGCTATTTACATTCTCTCCCAATATGCACATATCTCAACTCTCCACACATGCCACCTCATCAAGCACAGTAATTATATTTCTCTCAACATGCATGAAAAATACTACCTATATTCTATATATATATCCACAACTATATTGTTGGGGAACGTAGCAGAATTTTAAAATTTTCTACGCATCACCAAGATCAATCTATGGAGTCATCTAGCAACGAGGAAGAGAGGAGTGCATCTACATACCCTTGTAGATCGCGCGCGGAAGCGTTCAAGAGAACGGGGTTGATGGAGTCGTACTCGTCGTGATCCAAATCACCGATGACCTAGCGCCGAACGGACGACACCTCCGCGTTCAACACACGTACGGTTGGGAAGACGTCTCCTCCAACTTGATCCAGTAAGGGGGAAGGAGAGGTTGATGAAGATCCAGCAGCACGACGGCGTGGTGGTGGAAGCAACGGTGATCTCGGCAGGGCTTCGCCAAGCTCAGGGAGAGGGAGGAGTGTCACGGGAGGGAGATGGAGGCGCCAGGGGCTAGGGTGCGGCTGCCCTCCCTCCCCCCACTATATATAGGACCCCTAGGGGGGCGCCGGCCCGAGGAGATTGAATCTCCAAGGGGGGCGGCGGCCAAGGGGGGTGGAGTGCCCCCCAAGCCAAGTGGGACGCCCCCACCGCTAGGGTTTCCAACCCTAGGCGCAGGGGAGGCCCATGGGGGGGGGGGCACACCAGCCCACTAGGGGCTGGTTCCCCTCCCACTTCAGCCCATGGGGCCCTCCAGGATAGGTGGCCCCACCCGGTGGACCCCCGGGACCCTTCCGGTGGTCCCGGTACAATACCGATTACCCCCGAAACCTTCCCGATGGCTGAAACTTGACTTCCTATATATAAATCTTCACCTCCGGACCATTCCGAAACTCCTCGTGACGTCCGGGATTTCATCCGGGACTCCGAACAACTTTCGGGTTACCGTACGCTAATATCTCAACAACCCTAGCGTCACCGAACCTTAAGTGTGTAGACCCTACGGGTTCGAGAGACACGCATACATGACCGAGACGACTCTTCGGTCAATAACCAACAGCGGGATCTGGATACCCATGTTGGCTCCCACATGCTCCTCGATGATCTCATCGGATGAACCATGATGTCGAGGATTCAATCAATCCCGTATACAATTCCCTTTGTCAATCGGTACGTTACTTGCTCGAGACTCGATCGTCGGTATCCCAATACCTCGTTCAATCTCGTTACCGGCAAGTCACTTTACTCGTACCGTAATGCATGATCCCGTGATCAACCACTTGGTCACATTGAGCTCATTATGATGATGCATTACCGAGTGGGCCTAGAGATACCTCTCCGTCATACGGAGTGACAAATCCCAGTCTCGATTCGTGCCAACCCAACAGACACTTTCGGAGATACCTGTAGTGTACCTTTATAGTCACCCAGTTACGTTGTGATGTTTGGCACACCCAAAGCACTCCTATGGTATCCGGGAGTTGCACAATCTCATGGTCTAAGGAAATGATACTTGACATTCGGAAAAGCTATAGCGAACGAACTACACGATCTTTGAGCTATGCTTAGGATTGGGTCTTGTCCATCACATCATTCTCCTAATGATGTGATCCCGTTATCAATGACATCCAATGTCCATAGTCAGGAAACCATGACTATCTTTTGATCAACAAGGTACTCAACTACAGGCTCACTAGGGACATGTTGTGGTCTATGTATTCACACATGTATTACGATTTCCGGATAACACAATTATAGCATGAACAATAGACAATTATCATGAACAAAGAAATATAATAATAACCATTTTATTATTGCCTCTAGGGCATATTTCCAACAGTCTCCCACTTGCACTAGAGTTAATAGTCTAGTTACATTGTGATGAATCGAACACCCATGCAGTTTTGGTGTTGATCATGTTTTGCTCTAGGGAGAGGTTTAGTCAACGGATCTGCCACATTCAGGTCCGTATGTACTTTACAAATATCTATGTCTCCATTTTGAACACTTTCACGAATGGAGTTGAAGCGACGCTTGATATGCCTGGTCTTCCTATGAAACCTGGGCTCCTTGGCAAGGGCAACGGCTCCAGTGTTGTCACAGAAGAGAGTCATCGGGCCCGATGCATTGGGTATGACTCCTAGGTCGGTAATGAACTCCTTCACCCAGATTGCCTCTTGTGCTGCCTCTAAGGCTGCCATGTACTCCGCTTCACATGTAGATCCCGCCACAACGCTTTGCTTGCAACTGCACCAGCTTACTGCCCCACCATTCAAAATATACACGTATCCGGTTTGTGACTTAGAGTCATCCAGATCTGTGTCGAAGCTAGCATCGACGTAACCCTTTACGACGAGCTCTTCGTCACCTCCATAAACGAGAAACATATCCTTAGTCCTCTTTAGGTACTTCAGGATATTCTTGACCGCTGTCCAGTGTTCCATGCCGGGATTACTTTGGTACCTTCCTACCAAACTTACGGCAAGGTTTACATCAGGTCTGGTACACAGCATAGCATACATGATAGACCCTATGGCCGAGGCATAGGGGACGACACTCATCTTTTCTCTATCTTCTGCCGTGGTCGGGCATTGAGCCGTGCTCAATCTCGTACCTTGCAATATAGGCAAGAACTCCTTCTTTGACTGGTCCATTTTGAACTTCTTCAATATCTTGTCAAGGTACGTACTCTGTGAAAGACCAATGAGGCGTCTCGATCTATCTCTATAGATCTTGGTGCCTAATATATAGCAGCTTCTCCAAGATCCTTCATTGAAAAACACTTGTTCAAGTAGGCCTTTATGCTTTCCAAGAATTCTATATCATTTCCCATCAACAGTATGTCATCCACATACAATATGAGAAATGCTACAGAGCTCCCACTCACTTTCTTGTAAATGCAGGCTTCTCCATAAGTTTGCGTAAACCCAAACGCTTTGATCATCTCATCAAAACGAATGTTCCAACTCCGAGATGCTTGCACCAGCCCATAAATCGAGCGTTGGAGCTTGCACACCTTGTCAACATTCTTAGGACCGACAAAACCTTCCGGCTGCATCATATACAATTCTTCCTTAAGGAAACCATTAATGAATGCCGTTTTGACGTCCATTTGCCATATCTCATAATCATAGAATGCGGAAATTGCTAACATGATTCGGACGGACTTCAGCTTTGCTACGGGTGAGAAAGTCTCATCGTAGTCAACCCCTTGAACTTGTCGATAACCTTAGCGACAAGCCGGGCTTTATAGATGGTTATATTACCATCCGCGTTTGTCTTCTTCTTAAAGATCCATTTATTTTATATGGCTCGCCGATCATCGGGCAAGTCAGTCAAAGTCCATACTTCGTTTTCATACATGGATCCTATCTCGGATTTCATGGCTTCCAGCCATTTGTCGGAATCTGGGCCCACCATCGCTTCTTCATAGTTCGAAGGTTCACTATTGTCTAACAATATGATTTCCAAGACAGGGTTGCCGTACCACTCTGGTGCAGAACGTGTCCTTGTGGACCTACGAAGTTCAGTAGCAACTTGATCTGAAGTTTCATGATCATCATCATTAACTTCCTCTCTAGTCGGTGCAGGCACCTCAGGAACAATTTCTTGAGCTGCGCCACTTACTGGTTCAAGAGGTAATACTTCACCGAGTTCTACTTTCCTCCCACTTATTTCTTTCGAGAGAAACTCTTTCTCTAGAAAGGATCCATTCTTGGCAACAAAGATCTTGCCTTCGGATCTGAGGTAGAAGGTATACCCAATAGTTTCTTTAGGGTATCCTATGAAGACGCATTTTTCCGACTTGGGTTCGAGCTTTTCAGGTTGAAGTTTCTTGACATAAGCATCGCATCCCCAAACTTTTAGAAACGACATCTTA